AAGTATAGTTTAGCCACATAATAGAGTAACATGTTTCAATTACAAGTGATATAGAAGTTCTATATTTAGTTATGTGAGAAGATCTTTAAAATACATTAAGCAAAAGAAAAAAAGTGCAACAAATAAAGACTAGATTTAATTGCATATGTACATATGTAACATACGTATATTTTTATGTCTAGAAAATTTATGTAAAGATAAATAGTAGCTACCACCAAGGATGGTACATGGAAGTAGGGTGGTGGAAAATTTTTATTTTTTATTTTATACCATTTGTTACTGCCTAAGCTTTTATTCTTTCATGTTTGTATATTATTTTTTTTATGATAGTAATAAAAATTGTTTAAATTTTTCAGAGGAAACTTTAAAACCTGCGCTGTGTAAAAGTTCCAGCAAGCATCTGTACCCTGCACTAACCAGATCCCTCTTTTTGGGCTGACAGGAGACTTAGGCAGGGGCCTGATGCTATTCACCAGGCCAACACGGGAGGGCTCAGGGCAGTGGTTTTCAAACCTTTTCTTGCCCATCTGTAGTAGGAAATATATTTATTTGTTTCACAAAACAGCTCTTACTCTAATTACCTGAGATACACACAAATATCTTTTTTTATTCCTTTCTATTCTGCTAGTCAAAACCCATTAAATTGATTTTGTGAATCATAATTATGGTTTTACTATCCAAATATGCAAGCCTACTGCACCATTATCACAGCTGGAAAACATTTGGTTTAAGGGAGCTTGAGCTTCTCTCCAGTTTAATTCTAGCCCTCGTGTCTAGAGAGGGCTGAGGCTACCAAAACACTCTCAGTCCAGGAGTGAAGCATGGCAGGAGGGTGTGGGGTCTGCCTGGGAAGGGCCCCACCAGAGCCAGCTGAGGAAGGGGCTCCTTTTCAAGGCTCCTAGAAATTTCTAGAGCCTTGGAAACCTATGTCCCTTTACTCTGAATTCCTTTAGAAATGCTTCCTGATTCCTTCTCTCATGCTACAACTCTCAGCAGCTCCCAGCACTGTGGGGAAGAGGGGGTGTGATGGGAGAGGGGGACCACATGTATAGGCAAATAAGGAGCTTTGAGCTTAAATTTCATTAGCTTCATAGTAAATCCACCTCTGCTTGTAATAGCAAAACATGAAAACAGCCCAAATATCTATCAGAATGAGAACGAATAAATTGTGGCATAATCATATACTACAATATTAAAAAAGAATGGAACTAGAGATCCACGGATATATCTCGAAAACTAAATCTGAGTTGTTGAATGATATGTAGAGTAAAACACCATTTATTTAAAGCTTAAAAATATGCAAAACAATACAAGAGACTGTTTATAGACACATATTGTATTTATATATATGTATATGTACAATTATATGTGTGTATAATTAAAGTATAAAAACATGGAAGGAAATAATAAACACTAAATTCTGGATAGTGGTTACCTCTATCCAGGAGGAAAGGAGGGAAATGCGATTGTAGAGGGGAACAAGGGAGATTCATTGTATCTGTTTTTTTGGTTTTTTTTTTTTTTTGAAATAAAAGAGAAAGATCTGAAGGAAATATGACAAAATATTAAGATTTGATTTGACAAACCTAGGTGGCAGGTACCAGGTTTTATTGCATTATTCTCTAAACTTTCCTATATGCAGGAAATAGATCATATGTTTTACAAAGAAAGAATGTCTCTCGCACTAACCAGGGAAAGAGGATGCTTTAACTCCAGCAACAGACCTGATTCCTCTATTTTTAATATTTAATTTATATTTTTATTGAGGTATATGTAAGTAAAATGCACAAATCTTAAGTTTATAGCTCAAGGAATGTTTACATATGTGATCCAGGTAAGTCCACCCAGACCACAATATAGAACATTTCCAACTCCCTTCACCACATACAGTTCCCTTTTTCCTGGCTAATATTCATCCTCTGGTCTCAGCTTAGATGTCACTTCCTCTAGGAAAACTGCCTTGCTCCGCAAAGACTACTGCCTTTGTGTGCTTATTCCTTTAATTGACCATTTACTTCTCAGTTTCTCTTTCTAGACTATGAGCTGCTTTTCTGAAAGTTCTAAACTACAAATGTAACTTCTTTTTCTGCTCTGTGCATGTGCTTTCAATTTTTCACGTTAAACTGTATTCACCATTGTTAGCTCCTTCAGAAAAACCCAAGATCCTTTACAATATTCACCCATTCCTTTTGTACACCTAATGTCTCCATAATTTCTGCATCAAGTACTATGCTCCTCTATACCCTGAGGTCATGATCTTGAAATCAAGTTTCGGGTACTGACAGTTTCATGAGTAGACTCAAGCATAATGAAAACCCTGAACACTGAGTTGTACTCCATGACAACATCGCGTATCAGAGTAATGCCTACCTTTTAGAAGCCCTGAAGCTTCACCAGTTAAGCCAAAACCTGTCATGCCAAGCCTGATTAAAACCTTCTCCAAAGTTGATGAGTAATGCTGACAGCGTTCACTGCACAGACCTGTAGTATCAAAAGGTAACAATAAGGACATTTCACTTCTGTTCCTCACTCCAGGGCACTTCAGGTAACTCCATGGATCATAGAGAGCCTAGAAGGCATGCTAAAGAAGGCAAGTCCTCTTTATGTTGTAAGGGGAGCAACTGAAGGCTGTTTAATGGCTCGAGTAACAAGTGGGTAAGAGAACAGACTCTCGAGCCAGACTGCCAGTGTAACTTGGTACAAGCTTGAAACCTTTCTACTCTCTAATTAGAGGTTCAGTTTCTCCTTTGGAAACAGGATGATGATGCTAACCTTACTTCAGAGGGCTAGTGTGACGATTAAATGAGTTAATATGTGAAGAATTCTTGGTGCACAGTAAGCATTCCATAGCACTAGCCATCATTATTACCGCCATGGTAATATATTCATTTTGGAATGATCACTCTGGCTACTGTCTGAAAGGTGATGAATTGAAAAAGGGAAGTGTCATCCCAACATTGAAATCAAAAATAAACAGGAAGATGATATGATTTGATACAGCACAAGATACATGGAATGGTTTGAACTTAGCACCAGACACGTGAATGCTATAGTCAACTTGCAATGGTACACATTTTTAATTTACCATTGCTAATTTTCAGTTTCACCCACTGGTTTCTCTTGTCTTCAGCATACTACTAGGCAGTGGGCCCTGCTTAAAAATGATTAACCCTTTGGCTTAAACAAGCAATAGATGAGAGGGTAAATGAAGTCAGGATCCCCACTCCCTGAGACTCAGACCGCAGTTCTTAAGATGCACACTGTGGGGAAGGGGTGGAGAAAGAAGGCCAGACAGACAAATGGCCTGGGTAGGAAGTGAGCCAACTGGTTACTACTTTTGGTCCCTTGGACAAAGTAGGCATAGTCAAAGAGGAGATCTGAACTGGGATTAGGTCATTGCTATGCACGCCAGATCGTCTTGTTCCCCAAATTTTGCAACCAATATTTCCAAGGCATACTTTTTTTTTTTTTTTAAAGGCCCACAGCTACAAAATTCTGAAGGCATCTGGCTGGAAGTTTCCATATTTCTTTTCTCGATTTCAAGAAGTGCCCAAGAACTACGGTATTTTCATGGGAGAAATTTTCTAGTCTGTCTTGAGAAAGTTTTACAATTCTTCCAGGCTGTTTGCCCTCCTGGCAACCTTTCCTGCCCACCTTCTGTCAGGAAATACTCTTTCTTACACCCCAACCTGACAAAATTCTGATCCTCCTCAAAAACTCAATTATCTCCTTCTCTAGATTACCATTCCACTTGGCTCATACGGTTATATTTGTACTTATTGGTGTATATTGAAATGATCTGTTTTCTTGCCAGTCTCCGTACCTAGACCATGAGCTCCTTGATGGAAGGGACCATAGTTTTATTTTCCACCTTAAGACACTGTATAGCATAATAGCTTATGCACGAAGCCAGGATTTCTGGGTTTAAACCTCACACTTTTAGGATGTGTGTCCTTCAGCAAGTCATTTAACCTTTCTGTGCCTAAATTCCCTTACCTGTAAAAAGGGCATAATAATAGTGGCAACTTGAAGTAGCCCTTACTTCCACTCTCTAGATAGAAATCTTTTCACGAGTGTCACTGAATTACAGAGAAAAAAAATTATTTGGGGGGGATAAATTTAAAAGGTAGCCCAATAAATAAAAAGGTCATTGTTTCCAGGTCAAAATGCAGATAACTGTGTTGGAAAAAAAGAGAGAGAGACTAGAAGATTCTGGCAGGCAATGGCCGACATTCCTCCAGTCTCTCTCTAACATCGTCACATCTTCACACGGCAGTCATGCCTTCTCTGACTCCCATTTTCAAGGTCTCGTCTTACCTGTCAGAAGGCTACCTTCTCCAGCAAACCATCTCTGGCATCCCATGCTTAGGCTCTGCCAGGAAACTGATCACCCTTTCACGCAATGGTCTGTTTAGATTTCTGATACCACGCAACTGAGGTGAGCGCGGGCTATGTCTTGTTTTTCTCTGTGCTAAGAACTCAGGAACGATTGATATCCTCACGCTAATCCTCTCAACAAATAAGAGTCTCCTTCTGGACGCTTTCCCTTTGCATCACTCACTCCTCGCCTCTCAGCATCCCCTGTTCCTCAGCATCCCCTGGAAGTTTTAGAAACGAAGACTCTCAGATGCCGCCCCAAGCAGGCTCCTTAGCTCCTTCAGTGATGACCCCTACAGCCTTAGCTCCGCCCCATCTCAGCTCCTGACCCCGCCCTCTCCCTCCGCCCCGCCTCCTTCACCCTGCCTCTGGCCCGCCGCCTCCTTAAACTGGAGTCACAAGTACGCATGCTCCCTCCTAGCCTCCTCGTGACGTGATGACGTTGGCGTGGTGACGTAGCGCCGGTGGCAGCGCGTGTTTCGGCCGGGGTCCCGGGAGTTAGGTTTAGGAAGCCGCGGGAGCCTGTTTGGTCTCCCGGCCGCCCAGAGCGCGTGATTTATTTCAGCGTTCGCCGCCGAGTGTGCTGTGTCTGTTCCGCTCTGTCCGGGAGAGGGCAGCGGAGCAGAGGTTCTGTGGGCACAGTGGCGGGGTCCCTGAAGGGGACGAGAGCAACCGGCGAGCTTTGGAGCACCTGGGGGCAGCGCTGCGGCCCGGAAAGGGGAGAAGGGACGGTACCCGCGTCCGAACTCGCTGGGATCAGAGCTGGTCCGGAGGAGGGCCTGGGGCAGCCGCGCGATGCTCGGGGCCCGGTGCCTGCTCCGAGCGCTGCGTTCCTGTTCCTCCGCTCCCTGCCCGAGACACCAACCTGTCGCCAAACTGAGCGTGCGGGACGCTCTCGGGGCCCAGAACGCGAGTGGGGAGCGCGTTAAGGTCCAGGTTGGTGTATGGGAACGGGACGGGTTTTTTCTTTTCAGTGACTTACATGGCACATCGCGTCTAGGCTTCCCTTGTACTGTGGGGTCAGACAGAAGGACTGGCAGGGAGAAGTTAGAAAGTGTAGGCAGTCGTGTGCATCCGCATTTTTCTCCTTTCTTTGGCTGCCGTTACTTCTCGCAGAATTGTTCCGATGCCTATAAAGTGCTGGAACTTTGCTCTCATGATACCAGGGCATTACCTGTAAACTTGTTAATCGTACAGAAAAATGAATGAGCCCGTTTTCCTTTGTTGCTTATGATGAATATCCACAGTTTTATGTGATTGTCTTGAGCTAGCTCCTTCGGAGAAGAAACTCTGTCTGTGGTCGTGGTATTCACACATGGCTGACAGTAAATATTTGATCAACTAAACCATGCCTTCTATTCAACTTTTAGCCACCTCACTGCCTAAAATGGGGCTTTGCATATAATTTATGTTTAATAAATTGGGAGAAAGAGTGGAGTGTAGCAGTATGGAAGAGCTCTGGAGTCAAGCTGCCTAGGTTTAAATCTCTGCCACTGAGTAGCTCGTTAATTAGGGGCGTGTCACTTATGCACCTTAAACCTCAGTTTCCTCTTTTGAAAATGGAGATAATAGTCCCTACCTCATAGATTCCTGAAGATTAAATAATTATAAGACATTTAGGACAGTGGCCCACAGTCAATAAATGTTAGCCGCTCTTATTTGTCTTGCTAATAGTGTTATTTTCAGCAGCTCCACATAGAAGATTCCTCCTTAAATGAGCAGACCAAACAAGGTGGTTTGACTGTTTCTTATTAGGTTGTTGAAACACATTGATGCAATTATTTTTCTTGTTCTCACATATCCTTGATTTTTAGCAGTAAGACCAATCTACCCCTCTTTGCATTTCTTTGAATTTCATATCCTTTCCATAATCTAAATCAAAACCTTTTCTTGCATTAACCTATTAATTCGACATACATTAATGATACCTTCTGTGTACTGGTCAAGAGATCATTCAAAGATGAAAAGAACAGAACCTACTGCCTAGGTTAGAAGCTTTCATTTTATTGCTGTGCAGTCCGATATAGTAAGTACCAGTCCGTTGTGTCACTGAGCATCTGAAATGTGGCTAGTCCGAATTGAGAGGTGCTGTAAATGTAAAATAGACACTAATTTTGAAGAACAAAAGAGAATGCAAAGTATCTCAATATATTTTTATATTGATTACATGTTGATAATATTTGAGGCATAACGGGTTACATAAAATGTATTATTAAATTAATTTTACTTGTTTCTTTTTACCTTTAATGTGACCCCCAAAAAGAACATAAAATTACAAATGTGACTCACATTGTATTTTTGTTGGACAGCCCTGGTCTACTGGCTAAGACAAGTAATTACAGCAATGTGATAAGTATTAGTGGTATAAAGAAAGAACTATTAGAAAACAGAGAGGGAAGTCCTGAACTGTGAGAAGGTCCAGGAAGACTTCTTGTATGAGGTGACACTTCAGCTGAATCCTGAAGGATGTGTTCCTCAGGTAGATGAACTGGGGATGAGGTGGAAATAGCATTCCAGAAAAGCTTGTTGTTAAGAACCTGAACTTGGAAGTAAGAACTGTATTTGAATTCCAGCTCCAATACTTGGTAACTGTATGACCTTGACTATTTAGAGAGGTTATCCTCCTCTCTCTAAATATGTTTCTTCATCTCTAAAATAATATTCACTTTATTAAGTTCTTGTGAGGATTAAGTAGTATAATATTTAGAAAGAACCTAGAACAGAAGGACATTAAAAAATATTCCATAATGTTAACTTTTACTAACAACTAAAAAGCAAGAGAGTAGTGCTTTGGAAATTACTATTGATTGAGCATAACTGAAGAGCAGGTGCCTTTGGGAAAGCATGATGAGATGAAACTGGAAAGATGGGCATGCTCCAAATTATGAAGGATCTTGTATACAAGGCTGAGCCAGTTTACACTTTATTCACTGTAGCCCTGAAGAAAGATCAAGGGCTTTCTAGTAGACTTGGGTTCAACTTCAGGCTCCACCCTTTACCAGCAGTGTGACTTTCAGCAAGTTAACTTCCCTAAACCTCAGGTTCTTCACTTGTAAAACAGGAATCATGATAATCCATGGAGCTGTTGTGAGCAGGAGATGGGACCAGATATGAAGAAGGTAGTAAAACGCTTGTCACATAACAGATGTTCAGTACTGTACATGGTAGGTATTCTTTCAGTGGCAAACATTTATGGATTATCTACTATGTGCCTGACAGTAGCCTTCAAAGCAACTAAAGCATGGTTCCTAAACCCTCAAAACATAATGGACATGCAAATAAGTAATAGAAGGACTTTATAAGAGTGTCTATAGAGTATGAGGGGGACACAAAGAAAGTAAGGGTCAGTACAGTTTTTCTAGGTAGGATCATCTTGCTTTTCCAAGCGTGTTTAATCAAACAGCATCAATTGTTTCACTGTTCTACACTAGTTAAATTTAAGTTGGGTGTGAGCCTGTGAGAGCTGTTTTCAGTGTTACTGGTCTATTTGAAGACACTCAATTATACTCACACATATCTGTCATTTAAATTCAGAGTTTCTTTGAAAGTTTATGTACTACTTAATATGTGTTCATAATGAGAAATTTCTCAAGAACTCTTTTTGTATGATACTTTGTAAAAGGAAAAAATATCCCATAAAGATGTTTCTACCCTATTACTATATAATCTCCCTTCTGGGAATTTGATACAAAAGAAGAAAAGCACCAAAATATGTACCCTGTTATTCATAATGGTGGGGGAGAGGGGCGGAGGCCAGAGAAAATACCTGGAATGGCCAATATTGAGGGAATTAGTTATGTGAATTAGGCTCATCAACCCAATGGAATATTAGGCATCCATTCAGAACGATGAGCTTTATTAACAAAACAAAAAAAAAAGGTGGACTGCCAAACCTGTTTCTCACTGTGGTAAGAACCATATAAAATATATGCATATGGGTGAACTAAAAGCAATTAATTGATTTGGGCCGGCCCCGTGGCTTAGTGGTTAAGTGCGTGCTCCGCTGCTGGCGGCCCAGGTTCGGATCCTGGGCGTGCACCACTTCTCCAGCCATGCTGAGGCCGCATCCCACATACAGCAACTAGAAGGATGTGCAGCTATGACATACAACTATCTACTGGGGCTTTGGGGGAAAAAATAAATAAAGAAATAAAATTATAAAAAAAATCAATTGATTTAAGGCAGGATTATGAGGACTTTTTTTTTCTTTTTTCATTTAGTCTTCTATGTGTACGTGTAATGAAAATGTAAAATGTTTACCTGTTTTAAACTCACATTTAGAAATATTTCTCCTCGTTAGGGATGGATTCGTTCAGTCCGGTCCCAGAAGGAAGTCTTGTTCCTGCATGTAAATGATGGGTCGTCTTTGGAAAGCCTTCAGGTTGTAGCAGATTCAAGCTTTGACAGTAGGTGAGTTTTTTTTTTTAACGAGTCCTTTGATTTTTTTTTTTTCATGTCCTCTGCTCCCCATCCTTAATCCAGTGTTCACATTGCCCCCTGAATGATCTTTCTAAACAAATCTGCTTTTCATAGCCTTGAGGCTCAAGTCCAAAGACTTGGAATCAAGATCCTTCAAGCTCGGGCCTTTCCTCCTCTAATATCTTCACATGACAATGTCCTCTACCTATCCTTTGCTTCAGTCTCTCTTAACTACTTGTAGCTCTTAACCCAATTAAGGGTAAAACTTCTATCATTAAATATCTTAATGTTCTAGTAGCAAGGCCTGTATTACAATGAGGGTTATATCTAATGACATCTTGTTTATGCTGTTTTTTTTGTTCCTGTAGAGAACTGGCTTTTGGGAGTTCTGTGGAAGTTCAAGGGCAGCTGGTAAAAAGTCCATCCAAAAGGCAAAGTGTGGAACTGAAGGCAGAAAAAATCGAAGTTGTTGGAAATTGTGATGCCAAGGTATGCTTTGTTTTGTTTTGTTTTGTTTTGTGAGGAAGATCAGCCCTGAGCTAACGTCCATGCCAATCCTCCTCTTTTTGCTGAGGAAGACCGGCCCTGAGCTAACATCTATTGCCAGTCTTCCTCCTTTTTTTTTTCCCCTTTTTCACCCCAAAGCCCCAGTAGATAGTTGTATGTTGTAGTTGCACATCCTGCTAGTTGCTGTATGTGGGACGCCGCCTCAGCATGGCCAGACACACAGTGCGTCTGTGTGCGCCTGGGATCCGAACCCTGGCCGCCAGTAGCGGAGCGCATGCACTTAACCGCTAAGCCACGGGGCTGGCCCCCCGAGGTATGCTTTTAGACACTTTTATGGAGGTTGTTTAGGCTTAATTTGAAATATTAGTGATCTCTTTTAAGTGTGATTATTGGGAAGATGGCACTTAGAACATATTTTGATTGTGACTTTCCACGTTATTGAAACAGGCTGTAGAGTCTGAGGAATGTAGAGAAAGTAGCAAGAAGTTTTTATGTAGATGGCTGAGTCTTATGAATGAGAGCTAAGTATTAATCTGTGCATCTCTGTGGTGCCTGTCACAGTTGAAATTTGGCACTTTTACAGACGTGCCCAGTCAGCCACAATGACAGAGACAGACCAGGGCACCACGTTCTTAGGGAAGCTCTGCCTAGAAATGACTTTTGCATGATCTAGAACTGTATTGTTCAAAACAGTAGCCACTAGCTGCCTGTGGCTGTTTAATATTAAGTCAATTAAAATTAAATTAAAAATTCAGTTCCTCAGTGGCATTACCCACAATTCAAGTGCTCAGTAGTCGCCTGCAGGTAGTGGCTGCCGTCCTGGATAGCACAGATACCGAGCATTTCCGTTTATTGCAGAAGAGCCTATTGGACAGTGTTGATCTAGAGTGTTGTAATGCTGGGGCTGAACAAACATAAGAAATTCTACATTAAGACATGTTAATATCTGTTTTTACAAGATTCTTTTGTTAGTTGCTTTTTATTTATAGCCTGATGAAGAGGTTAGTGGAAATAAAATCAAAGATTCTCAATCCAGTTTCTCAAATTGGAGAAAATGGGGCCCAGCCAGGTGAAATGACTTGCCCAAGGGTGTACAGCTGAAATTCATATGCTAGGCAGTTGACTCCTCTGTGTTTTCGCTTTGCTTGTCTTCAAGTATTTAATGAACAAAAAGTGAGGGACTATAGGGGCTGGCCCAGTGATGTAGTGGTTAAGTTCACATGCTCCGCTTTGGCGGCCCGGGGTTCACAGGTTCGGATCCTGCGTGTAGACCTATGCGCGCCTTGTCAAGCCATGGTGTGGCAGGTGTCCCACATATAAAGCAGAGGAAGATGGGCACGGACCTCAGCCCAGGGCCAGTCTTCCTCAGCAAAAAGAGGAGGATTGGCAACAGATGTTAGCTCAGGACTAATCTTCCTCACCAAAAAAAAAGAGGGACTGTAGGGAAATTGTATCACTTTAATTCATTTTTAGTTCTTTTAGAAAATTGGAAGAAATTAAATGTAAAGAAATAAGAAAGAAAATGGAGTGATTTTTTTAAATGTCATTCTGAGTAATTTTCTTTCTTTTTTTTTTTTTTTAAAGATTTTATTTATTTTATTTTTTCCCCCCCAAAGCCCCAGTAGATAGTTGTATGTCATAGCTGCACATCCTTCTAGTTGCTGTATGTGGGACTCGGCCTCAGGATGGACGGAGAAGTGGTGCCTCGATGTGCACCCGGGATCCGAACCCGGGCCACCAGCATCGCAGCGCGCGCACTTAACCACCAAGCCACAGGGCCAGCCCAACTGAGTAATTTTCTAAGAAATTCTAATTGACATGTAAAATCAGGAATCAGGTCTAAGATTTCTGAAAAATAGACTGTGAAAATAATTTGGAACTCAGAAAGGAGTGGAGATGGTAATAATTTTTGGTTTTGCTTTTTTAGAGGGTTATATAATTATTAAAAATTTGCCATGTGTTTTGTTCTTCTTACATTGTTCTCCGTTGGCTTCTTTTGGTGTTGATGACTTCACCATCTCTTCATCTTCATTTCAATGTCATTTTTAAGTATTCACACATTAGGGAATTCTGAACCCCTGGCAGTCCCCAGATTCCTATTAATGTGGTCATATTTTCCCTGTAGTAAGTATGTGCTTATTTCTATACAACATAAATTAGTGTGTGCACAAGTCCTAAAGGTGATAGACAAGACTAGAAGAAAAGAAACGGGCTGCCAGTGTAGCTCTTTTACTTAGCTTCTCTGTAATCTTTTTTATTGAAACTTTGGTTTTGGTCTGAAAGTTTGTTTTTGTCTTAATCTTGTAACATGAGTGTGGGCAGGGTGGAAATATTTCTAGGTGGAGTCATAGTTTCCTTAAAATTTTTGTAAATATACACTCCTCTGTATTTCTTTCTGTTATCTGTGGATAACAGAAAGCTGTTGATCCTCCCTTATGTTCTGAGACAGCAGTATGTGTTGATGAACAGTGATGTACAGTGCCAATCGATTGTCAATGATTGTGGGCTTTCAAGACATTTGGGTGGTTTTAAAATTGAATACCAGCCGTGTGTATACAGCTGTAGAAAACATAATCTTTAATATCTACAATATTCTGAACTCCTGTGTGTCAAACAGTGGACTGTTTTGCTTAATTGTATCCTAATTTCTCTATTTGTAAATAGTGATTGATAGTTAATGGATAGAAATTTGATAAATAACAGATTAGCCTTATGATATTCAATAACTTTGCCCGAGGTTCCACAGCTAATAAATAGTAGAGCTGGATTCAAACCCATGTCTCTAATTCCACCCCACCATTCTACCAACTTGTTGGAATTAATGTGGGCTGTATTCAATTATATTAAGAAATAAAAAAGGAAAGCATCTTAGTTTTGTTCTAAAGCACTACTTTTTAACATTTGCCCTGGAAACTGATTTTATAAAACAGTATCTTTTTTAGCTTTTAATTTGTTTTTTCCATTTATTGGCAGGCTTTCCCTTTTAAATATAAAGAGAGGCATCCTCTGGAGTATCTGAGACAGTATCCTCACCTTAGGTGTAGGACTAATGTTCTCGGTTCTATCCTGAGGGTTCGCAGTGAAGCCACAGCTGCTATTCATTCTTTCTTTAAGGTAAGGGGCTTTGCTTCTGGGAGTTGTTCTTTGTGAAGAAGTTGAATAATTATAACACTGGAGTATTATCCTGAAAGTTCTGTTAGTTTTTTATTCCAAGCACCCTGTACTTATGTGGTACTTTTTTGTTTGGCTCATTTTAAGATTTTATCTCTGGTTTTGAGCAGTTTGATTATTATGATGTGTCTTGGCATAGTTTTCTTTATGTTTTGAGTTTGTTGACTTTTTTTGGATCTATGCATTTATAATTTTCATCAAGTTTTTCAGCCATTTCTTCAAATATTTTTTCTGTTACCTCCCTCCTTTGGGGACTTTAACTACCTATATATTAGACCATTTGATGATATCCTATAACTCACTAATGTTCTTTTCTTTCCTTTTCCTAAATTTGTTTTTCTCTGGTTTTTTGAATAGTTTCTAGTGTTATATCTTCAAGCTTACTGATCTTTTCTTCTGTGATGCCTAATTTATTGTTATTCCTATCCAGTACATTTTTCGTCTCACGCATTGTAGGTTTCATATCTAGATGTTTGATTTGGGCCTTTTTTATGTCTTCCATGTCTCTGCTTAACTTTTTGAACATATATAATACAGTTTTAATCTGTTTAATAACTGTTTTAACTGATAAAAACTCTCAACAAAGTGAGTGTAGAGGGAATGTACTTCAACATGATAAAGTTCATATATGACAGGCCCACAGCTAACGTGATATTCAGTGGTGAAAAGGTGAAAGTATTTCCTCTAAGATCAGGAACAAGGCAAGAAGATCCACTTTCACCACTTCTATTCAACATGGTATTAGAAGATCTAGCCAAAGCAATTAGGCAAGAAAAAGAAATAAAAGGCATCCAAATCAGAAAGGAAGAAGGAAAACTGTCACTATCTGCAGATGATATGGTGTTATATATAGCAAACCCTAAAGACCCCACCAAAAAACTGTTAGAGCTAATAAACGAATTCAGTAAAGTTGAAGAATACAAAATCAATATACAAAAATCTGTTGTGTTTCTATACACTAAGACGAACTCTCAGAAAGAGAAATTAAGAAAACAATCCCATTTACAGTTGCATCAAAGAGAGTAGAATACCTAGAATAAATTTAACCAAGGAGGTGAAAGACCTGTGCACTGAAAACTGTAAGACATTGATGAGAGAAATTGAAGAACACAAATAAATGGAAAGATATTACACGCTCGAGAATTGGAAGAATTAATGTTGTTAAAATGTCCATACCACCCAAAGCAATCTACAAATTCAAGGCAATCTCTATCAAAATTCTAATAGTATTTTTCACAGAAATAGAAAAAACGATGCTAACATTTGTATGGAACCACAAAAGACCACGAATAGCCAAAGCAATCTTGAGAAAAAAGGACAAAGCTGGAGGCATCACACTCCCTGATTTCAAACTATGTTACAGAGCTATAGTAATCAGAACAGTGTGGTATGGGCATAAAAACAGACACACAGATCAATGGAACAGAGTAGAGAGCGCAGAAATAAACCCACATGTATATGGTCAATTAATTTTTGACAAAGGAGCTAAGAATACACAGTGGAGAAATGACAGTCTCTTCGATAAATGGTGTTGGGAAAACTGGACAGCCACATGCAAAAGAATGAAACTGGACCACTCTCTTGCACCATACACAAAAATTAACTCAAAATGGATCAAAGACTTGAATGTAAGTCCTAAATCTATAAAACTCCTGGAAGAAAATGTAGACAGTAAGCTCCTTGACATCAGTCTTGGTGGTGATTTTTTGGATTTGACACCAAAATCAAAGGCAGGAAAAGCAATAATAAATAAATGGGACTACACCAAACTAAAAAGCTTCTGTGCAGCAAAAGAAACCATAAACAAAATGAAAAGGCAGCCTACCAGATGGGAGAAAATATTTGCACATCATATATCTGATGAGAGGTTAATATCCAAAATATATAAAGAACTCATACAACTCAATTGTTTTCAATCAGAAAACAATCTGATTGAAAAATGAGCAGAGGATCCAAATAGACATTTTTCTGAAGAAGGCATATAGATGACCAACGGATACATGAAAAGATGCTCGTTGTTAACTAATCATTACAGAAATGCAAATCAAAACCACAATGAGATATCCCCTCACACCTATTAGAATGCCTATTATAAAAAAAGACAAGAAATAACAAGTGTTGGCAAGGATGTGCAGGAAAGGGGACCCTTGTGTACTGTTAGTGGAAATGTAGATTGGTGCAGCCACGATGGAAAACAGTATGGAGGTTCCTCACAAAATTAAAAATAGAACTACCGTATGATCCTGCAATTCCACTTCTGGGTATTTATCCAAAGAAAACGAAAACACGAACTCGAAAAGACATATACATCCCCATGTTCATTGCACCATTATTTGCAATAGCCAAGATATAGAAGCAACCTAAGTTTCTATTGATGGATGAATGCATAAAGAAAAGGTGGTATGTACATGACAATGGAATATTATTCAGCCATAGAAAAGAAGGAAATCTTGCCATTTGTGACTACATGAATGGACCTTGAGGGCATTATGCTAGGTGAAATAAGTCAGACAGAGAAAGACCATTACCTTATGATCTCACTTATATGTGGAATCTAAAAAAAATGAACTCGGAGAACAGATAGGTAGTTGCTAGAGGCAGGGGTTGGACAAAATGGGTGAAGGGAATCAAAAGGTACAAACTTTCAATGATAAAATAAGTCATGGGGATGTAAGATACAGCTAGGTGACTATAGTGCATAATACTGTATTGTATATTTGAATGTTGCTAAAAAAGTAGATCTTAAAAGTTCTTATCACAAGAAAAAAATTTGTAACTGTGGTGAGGGATGTTAACTAACTCGTTGTGGTGATTACTTCGCAATATATACAAATACTGAATTGTTGTGTTGTACACCTGAAACAAATATAACATGTCAATTATATCTCAATTAAGAAAAATAAAAATAACTTTTATGTCGTTTTCTTCTAATTCTGACATATCTGCCAGTTATGAGTCAGTTTTGATTGATTGATTAGTCTCATTAGGGGTTATGTTTTCCTGCTTCTGCATACCTGCTAATCTTTAATTTGATGCCAGACATTGTGATTTTCCCTTGTTGGGTGCTGGATATTTATAAAGCTTCTTAAGCTTTGCTCTGGTATGCAGTTAAGTTACTTGAAAACTGTTTGATCTCTTTGGGTCTTGCTTTTATGATTTAAGTAGGTCCGGAGCAGTGCTCAGTCTAGGACTGGTTATTCCCCACTATTGAGGCAAAGCCTTCCTGAGTACTCTACCTAGTGCCTTGTGAATTAGGAGTTTTTCCAATCTGTCTTGTGGGAGAAGGCACTGTTCCCAGCCACATGTGAGCACCAGGCACTGTTTCCTCTAGAGAACCTCTCTGGATGGTTCTTTCCCTGACTTTGCATAGTTTCCTCACGCACGTGTGCTGATCGGTCCTCTACCTAATACTCAGGGTGATCCTCTGCACATCTCTGGAGTTCTCTCTGCAGCCCTCTCCATTCTGGTACTCTGTCCTATGACTTCTAGCCACTCTGATCTCCTCAGACTCTCAGCTGTGTCTCAACTCAGGGAGTCTGCTGAGCTCCACTTTATTTCCCCCCTCTACCTGCTATGGCCCAGAAAATCTCAAGGTGGTACTAGGCTACTCATAGCATTCACCGTGTTTGTCCCCAACTCTCAGGGATCACTGTCCTTTGTTGTCTGATATGCATTGTCTTGAAAACCGACCTTCCATGTGGTTTGCTTGTGGCTTTTTTTGTTTCGTTTTTGTGTTCTTGGTTGTTTCAGGTGGGAAGGTATATCCGGTCCCTATTTCTCCATCTTGATCATAGACATTTTTTATATATAGTAAGCACTAATTTTAAAGAATTATTGGTGTTGGTCAAGTAGATTGATCTGATGACTAAAGGCATTTTGCCTCATTTAGCTTTGCTTTTCAGCCATTTCCCCCTACCCAGGAAAGCCACAATGGAAAGTAGTTGGTAAGTTGCTGGGGTAAAGGCACCCTCCCCCATGTGATGGGAAGGCCCCATAGGCAAATGAAGTTCAGTGTTGTTTTGTGTGGTTTTGGAACTCTTCCTGTGCCGCTTCTCCAGATCCAGCTAATTTGCAGATTGTATAACAGCATACCCCTTTCCTTGGACCGTATCCACATTCATGCAGCCCCACCAGCCCTGCTCTGGCATGCCAAGAGAATTCTTGCTCTTTGAAAAGCTCTTTCAGAGTTAATTTCTGGTGAAACAGCTAAAGAACATCATGGCTTTAAGACATGCACTTTTGAATAAGCAAAGGAAAATAAATTGCATTATACAGTGTCATCCCATTGTGGTTTGCAAGGGTGCATTTACATAACACTCTCATAAACTTTCTCATGCAACTTCCGTGTGACTTTTCAGTAGTGCTTGAAGCACACAAACATAACATTTGTTTAGATCTAAAAATGTTTTTTTGACCATATAGGTTTAACAGCTGATAAAGTAAGTGGACCTGCTAATTCGGAAAGAGTTTTGTAGATTTCTGGCCACTAGGTGGTGGTGTTGGCAACCCATTGACAAATGGGCTTTACCTACTTTGTATATTTATTACTTGAAGCTTTTATACTATGTGAACAATTAAAAAATAAGAGAACAAATTATAAAAATCTAAAATTGAAAAAGCAAAATAAATTAAAATTTAAAAAACATTTTAAGTGTTTGAAAATAACTTGAATTTTAGCACTGTTGTGTGATAGTTATTAAGGTAGGCACTTTTGAGTGCTGTTAAGTTCACTTTTTTTTCACTTTTTTTTCGTTGTAAAGCCCTGGAAAATATAATCCTGATACCTCCTTCTATGGTGTTTCCCACATGTGTGTGTGACATTTAGGAATGAATTGTTTAGAGATATCATTGGAGTGCTGTAGGACATATTAAATAATAGTTACATGTTATCTAGTATTTAGTACTATTCCTGTGACTTGTTACATTAGGCTCCCTAAAAGATGTTATGCCTTAAAATGTAAAATTTTCATAAGTTCAAAGTCCATCAATAAAAATGTAGAAATGTGAGAAAAAATAGAAACCTAAGCAGTAACTTTTAGTTAGGATAATTTAATGATCTAGAGTTATTTTATTTATTTATTTTTATTGATGTTATAATAGTTTTTAACATTGTGAAATTTTGGGTTGTACATTTTTGTTTGTCCATCACCATATATATGACTCCCTTCACCCCTTGTGCCCACCCCCCATAGAGTTACTTTTTAGTTTGAGTATTCAGAACCTTTTGTGTGTAACTTGGTTTGCTCATAAAGTTGACACATTTGCTGTGTACTGAAACTTGGCTGTCTAGATCCTCAAGGAATGAGTTATTTAGAAGAGCTGAGTTTCTCAAATAACTGAGAATTCTCTTTTAACTTTTTCTAAATTCCAGTGGAAGTTATCCTAAAATATATTACATACTCCCCTGGCGTCCTAAATTGAACCAGTAGAACAGGGTTTGCCCTTTCTTGAGAAGTCAAGGTTCTTCCTTGAAGTATCAGATTTTGCCCTCTTCTGTATGGCAGTGCCTTCAAAGGCTGTCACCATGTAGAGTGTTCTTTGCCTCTGTGTTAAATGACCTTTGAGTTTCTGTGACTGCTTTTTATGGATTTTTTTGTCTTCTCTTGTTGGAACTTTTTGTTGCCAGTGGTGTGCCTGTGGCTAGCAATTGCTGTCACGTTTCTTTTTTGTTGATTTTGATTAAATAATGATACTTATTTTGGGTGTGTGTGAGAGAAAAAAATAGACCATAAGTCTTTGAGTGATGTGTATGGTCCTTAGGATGTGAATTTTGTAGTTTTCAGATGCTCAGTGCCTTATAAAATATCTAGAATGTGTTTCTGTCAAAATATTTAGACATTTAGAGGTGGTGGATGGAATCTGAAAAATTGGATTAAAGTGTATATTTTTATTTTTTGCCCCTTCATGGCCTCCATATCTCTAATTAGGAACCCCTTTGCTGTGAGATGGGATAGGTACCTGACACTGGTACCCCACTGGAGGTACCTACTGACAGAACTCCTCCACTCCTTGGTATTTATTTTCCTTTTTATCTTTCTACTTCCTCTGCTTTCTCTTTTTTGAACTTTTTTCTCACTGCTTTATTATTCTTCCTTTGTACTTTCTCCTTTATAGCTTTTGATGGTAATGTTATAGACTTTGATATGATAAGCCTTGCTAGTAGCATTAAGGCTTAAAAAGCTGATGACCCCTTTTGAAAGATTTAGCATTACTTGAGTATTAAAAATAATTCCCACTACTTGAGTGATTTAAAAAAATTATGTCCCATGCAGTTATTTTCATAAGATTTACAGTGTTGTTTCTTGTGGCACTTTACCAGCTCTAACTTTGGCAATTATGTTTAGGCCGTTAAATTTTCTCCTCCCTTCCCCCTCCCCCTCGCCACCCTCATTTCCTTTGGATTTTTCACTTCCTTTCTTTGTTTACTGCACTCATGCTCATAGTTGCCTGCATTCATGTGGAATAAATGATTCATGTCCATAATTCTGGGCTCTTAGGAGATAAAAATTTTATGCAGTAATGTTATTGATTATATTTCGTACGTTCTCTGTAATGTGCTCCGTGTAGCACCTCTAGGCATGATGCTCCCAGATTAAGTACATATTTGAATACTTTCTGAGACTGCTAATTTATAGCTTGAATATTTAATCAGTCTACATTATAAGGCAAGTTGTTGACTGGATACTTTGTATCGTAGCCAGAACACTTGAATTCGACCTTTTTAGGAAGGAAGGAGCAAATTTGAGCTGCCCCTGGTAATGCAGAGACATTTTACATTCCACTAGTGATAGGCAGAATTTAGCAGAGATTGGATGTGTATATACGAATTTATTGTATGGATTTCAAGACCAAAATTTTTGCATTAAATGTATAGTACTGTTCTGCGTTTGCAGCGTTAAGTTCACTTTGGCTACCTTCACCCCTACCCTGCAACATTTATGCTGAATGTAACCTTTTGCCTACATCCATAGTCAAAATGAAAGCAGCATAACCTTGAACTGGCTGGGTTATTTCAATCCTACTAGCAACAGCTTTTGTGGTTCACTAATGGAAATATTCTCAGACTTTGGGGCGTAAGAATTACAGTTGGGCGCCTGGGTAATGGATGGATTTGCTGCTCGGAATCTTCCTTGAGGCAAAGGTAGTGCACTGCCTGTGCCATGTGCAGTGCACGGTGCCATCAATTTAATGACAGTCTTCCTAAAAATTATTTCTGCCTTTTTTTATTTCTTCAGTCTCTATTTTTCAACCTGTTTTTTTCTCCTTTTTGGTGATTTGTTACAATTGAGAGTCTCATTGCAAAATAACTGAACTTCATATTGATCGCTTTGTATTCCCTTAGCAATGTGGACAAAATTGTTATGCATTAGCCTTGAGTGAGTGTGTGTGTGTGTGTGTGTGTGTGTGTGTGTGTTAATTCACTACCGGTATGTTAGAGAAATGGGAAGAAGAAATAGCACCAGAGAGAGACCCTGAAGACCTAGGTTCCGTCCTGGCTTTGCCACTGGCTAGCTGTGTAACTTTTGGCAATTCATTAAATCTCTCTGGGCCTCAATTTCCTTATCTTCAAAATGAGGAGAGTGGACTAGATAATGTCTAAATCACTTCCTGATTTAAAATTCCTTGTGCTTCTTCTGTGCATAGTAAAACACTCAACTTGATATTTCAGTAGTTTTATTTGGGGGGGGGTTAGGGAGAGATTTGATATGGCATTCTCTTAGTACTATTTTAGTAGCATAATAAAGTGTATATTCTTGGCATTGTTTCATATACAAGTATACTGAAAAAAAGTGGCTTTTCTTTTTCTTCCAGGACAGTGGCTTTGTGCACATTCATACTCCAGTAATCACATCCAATGACTGTGAGGGGGCTGGAGAACTTTTTCAAGTTGAAGTAAGTTGTGCTTCCCATCTTGGGGGATATATTCCCCTCTGATATTTTTCGTTTAAGGCTTTGCGTTAAATTTAATCAGAGTTGTATGGATAAACCATGACCAGAACCTAAAATTTTGTTGATAGTAATCCTTAAAAAACATATATAGAAAATTCTCAAACTTCTCTGATTTCCTGACCTACCAGTTGTATTACTTACATTGTGACTGAAAGGAGTGGATTTTTACTTTCGTACTCCATTTGCTTTTCTTATATAACTGTGAATTGGTGAACTAGAGAAGTTGGAAGAGATTAATAAAGATTCTAAGATATGTTTTCTGCAAATTCAATCCCCAGTTAATATTTTTGGATATGTCATATTTTAAAAGATAAATTAAAATAGAAAAGTGTACATATGAATATTTTCTTTTTCAAAGTCTTTAAAAAATACCTTTGTCATAAGAAGTGATTTATGTTCTCTATACCTCATGAAGGCCCTTATTTTAAGTCTTTGTTCGTTGTTTGAGCTCCTACTGTATGCCAGGCATTGTCAGCCTGCCCTTGTTGCAGGTAATTTAAAAATTACCAGTTTTTCTTACTTGTAGGCAGCTGAAAGCCTTTCATTTACCAATTCGACAGCCTGTTTAAAATCATTGGCCAGTGGTATAATAATGGACAAAGAGAAATGTATGTTGATGACTGGTGCTTTCTGTATTTCTTTCGTTTATTCACTGATTTCTTTATCTCTAAGAAGTCAAGATGCTTACTTATACATTTGGGTGATTCCATCAAATGATAAGACCTGTGTATAACTACTCTCTCTGGTTCAGGACTTTCTGACTCTTGATAATGATGCTTCCCCTTCACATTATTGAACAAAGTATTCACTGGGAAAACTTGTCCTAATATGTTGAAGTCATACTCAAAATAATAATCAAATGCTGTCTTTCTTCTTACGTAGCCTGAAGAAATCTTGATGATAGCCTTCTGCAAAAAGCAGAATGAAACTGCTTTGTTGACGATGAAAATAGGAGTGTTAGCATTTGTATATAAGAGTTAAAAGAAGGCAGTAAATGATAAAATGACAATATACAAGTTGTAAAAAAATTCTCTTCTGGCGTTTATGTTGTTTATTTTCTCTTTGCACTTTAATAGTCTTCTGAATACTGAAGTGAAGAAGAGTTAACCACCTTAAATACATTTCATAGTCCCTTAATCTAAATCACTGAATATTAAAAAGATGACATAAAAAAAATGACAGAGAAGGAAAGTTATAATTTAAAGAAGTTTTTACAAATAAGAGGGGAATTATTAAAGAGTCCCAAATTAAACAAGTAGAAAAAAACCTGTAACGAACTTAAATAATGATAATTTGGAGATAACTGTTTTGCTACCAGGGAAAGCCCATAAGCAAGTCTGGATAGTTATAGTATGTGTATTTTGGCCTCTAAACAAAAATAAGACAAGTTAATGGATAAGTATGAACACAAAGGAAGGGAAAAAAATGTATTTCTGAAGCTAAACAAATGAGAAGCATTCTACAGTCATAGTATTGCAGAGATTTTATATAGTGGAATTAGATTTGCCTATTCAGAGTACCAGAAAGAGATGCATTTGAATTCATTGATCCTAGGCTCCTGCAGTCAGGGACTAGACCGGGTTTCAGGAATTTGTGGCTTTTGTGCTGTGATGTGCCATCTTTGTTACTTTCAAAAGTTCAGTTCCTGAAAAAGTTGTCTTCTGCCCCTGCCAACCCTCTATCCTTTGGAAGCAGTGTTCCTTCTTATTCTCACCTCATATACCTGTGTACTTCCAAGCTTCATTGTGTTAACTTCGTCCTGACTGCTTGTAGAGGCATAGGGGTTTGAATCTTGGCACCCCACTGTTAGGAGGAAGTGGAGTTTCATATTTAAATTCTTGCTTCCCTTAACAGTGCTCTTTTTCGCTCTAACGACAGTCAAGTGTCAGTAACTATTTAAAGGTAAGGATGCCTAATACACACTAAGGTTTGAGGGCAGTAGTAAGAGGCCACCTTGAAATGCACAGTAAAATCATTTACTTCTAGTACACTCTTGAGAAGTGAATGCATGTCCCATCATTTTAGCTTTCTTTTTCCTCGTTTCCATTTCCTGCTTCAAGACTTTGGATATCTGTTAAGGTTTGGGGACTTAATACCCATGTAGGAAGTTGCATTCAAGGCATTCGCTTGTTATTCAGCAGACATTTGGTACCATGTGTTCAAGATGCTGTGCTGAATGTTGTGAGGGGTAAAAAGATGTAGTTGAGGTTCTGGCCTGTAAAGGTGGTGAGTTGGCAGGGCTTGATGGAGGAAGGAGCATGCTTTTCATTCACTCTTGACATTACTTACCCTACAGTATTTCTTGATTGTACACTTTTTCCTCTTTGTCTTACAGCCCTACCTGAGTTCCCACGATTATGTTTGGTCTTTATGATTCTGGAATAATTAGTTTGTCTTTGAGAAGAAAAAAGAGATTCAAGGCAAGAATTAGAGATTGTGGCAAAAACTACACATTGATGGGGAATAAGGTGAAACTGCTTTATGTATATATTTGAGGCTACAGTGTTACCAATTATAAGTGCTATGGAATCTAGAGGAAAATTATGTCAGTGAGCATTGACTTGGTCAGAAAAATCTTCAAAGTGAATATGTGACTTGACTGCACCCTAGGGACAGTATTCCAGGTAGCAGAACAGTGTGAGCAGAGTCAAGCAATTGAAATGAGTATGGGGTTTTCAGTGGACTCTGGATGGACAGATTAGAAGGTTCATATTGGTGAATCATAGAAAATAAAGTTGGATAGCTATGGGAATGAGAAAATGGAGCAGCCTTTTTAAAAACAACTTGATTGAGATATACTTTACGTACCATAAATTTCACCCATTTAAAGTATACAGTTCCATGGCTTTTAGCGTATTCACAGTGTTGTGCATCCCCACAATCTAATTTTAGAGCATTTTCATCGCCCCACAATGAGACCCGGCACCCGTTAAGCAGTCCTTTCCCATTCCCACCCCCAACTCTATGTAACCACTAAACTACTCTCTATAGATTTGCTTCTTCTAGAACATTTCATATAAATGGAATCATACTACATAGGGCCTTTTGTGCCTGGCTTCTTTCACTTAGCACAAAGATTTTGAGGTTCATCTATGTTGTAGCATGTATCAGTACTTCATTCCTTTTTCTGTCCAACTAGTATTCTATTGTGTAGATGTATGACATTTTGTTTATCCACTTGGCAGTTGATGGATATTTGGATGGTTTCCACCTTTTGACTATTACGAATAATGCTACTGTGAACATTTGGGAAAACATTTAGATGAGCATATGATTTCATTTCTCTTGGGTGGAATTGCTGGGTCATATGGTAACTCTATGTTTAATATTTTGAGAAACTGCCAAACCATTTTCCAAAGTGGCTGCACCATTTTACATTCCCACTGGCAATGTACAAGGGTTCCAATTTCTCCACATCATTGCCAACACTTATTATTGCCCTTCTTATTTTATTATAGCCATGCCAGAGGGTGTGAAGTAGTATCTCATTGTGGGTTTTCTTTTTTCACTTTGCTTTTGAACATTTACAATTTATATTTAAATGTAAATTCACATTAAAGCTTTTAATTACAATTCTGCTATGCCAGAGTGTGATAGATAAATGGTCACACATTACGAAATTAAATTAGGCTGAGAAAATCTAAGGATAATACTTCATATAGTAGGAGCACTATTCAAGTCTAGAATTTATACATTTAAATACTTTAATTTAAAGTGAAGAATGAACTGAAAGTGTAAGCCTATTAAATGGAGCCCAAGAAGACTTGTGTAATTTTATATCTGAATCTCATACTCTGGGAACTCTCATACTAAGATTCTCATACTGAATCTCATACTGTGTACTGAAGTTTCACATTAGGTTGGTTTGCTTTTTTTTATTATTGTCGTAAAAAATATATATATATATATATAAAATTTACCATTTTTAAGTGTACAATATCATTAATTATATTCACAATGTTGTACAACCATCACCACTATCTATTTCTAAAACTTTTTCATCACCCCAACAGAAACTCACCATTCCCCTTAGTCCCAGCCCTTAGTGACCTGTAATCTTCTTTTTTGTCTGTATGGATTTCCCTATTCTGGATATTTCATATAAATGGAATCATACAGTATGTGGCCTTTTGTGTCTGGCTTCTGTTGGTATATGTATCAGAATTTCATTTCTTTTTATTACTGAGTAATAATTTATTCTGTTGTGTGGATATACCACATTTTGTTTAACCATTCATTCATTGATGGACATTGGGTTGTTTTCAGCTTTAGGTATTGTGCTATGCTGCTATGAACATTCGTGTACAAGTTTTCCTTTGAACACCTGTTTTCAGTTCTTTTGAGTATATACCTAGTAGTAGAATGGCTGGGTGATATGGTTATTCTCTGTTTAACTTACTAAGGAACTGCCAAATTATTTTCCGCCGTATGACATTTCCACCAGCAAGGTTTGAGGGTTCCACTTTCACCACCTCGTCGCCGATGCTCGTCATTTTCAGTTTCTTTGGTTATAGCCATCCTAATGGATATGAAGTGGTATCTCATTGTGGTTTTGATTTGCACTTCCCTAATGACTAAGGATGTTGAGCATCTTTTTGTGCACCTATTGGCCATTTGTATATCTTCTTTGGAGAAATGTCCATTTAAGTCCTTTGCCCATTTTTTTTATTGGCTTATTTGTCTTTTTGTTGTTGAGTTATAGGTGTTCTTTATTTATTCTAGATGCAAGTCTGTCCTTCTCCCTCTCCCACCCCAGCAGTCTGAAGCCTCTGATGTTGCCCCCTTGAGTATGCCCACCCAGAGATGGCATTGATTCTGTCAGGGCTCTCTTTGGCTGTCTCTTTCTCAGATCACACCCAGCTCTTAAACTTCACTAATTGCAGGCTGATTGCTTTAGTGTTTTCAACAATGTTCTGAGGCATAAATTGCTTCACAGACTGATC